TATTAGATAGGATAGCCATCCTACTGGGTGTGAAGTGGTATTTCATTGTGGTTTTGATTAGCATTTTACTAATGAGGTGATTTTGACATCTTTTCATGTGTTATTGTCCATTTGCATATATTCTTAAAAGAAATGTCTAAATATTTTGCCTATTTTAGTTATTTGTCTTTTTATTCTTGAGCTTAAGAATTCTTTATATATTGTGAACACTAGACCCTTTGATGATCAGAACTATGGGCTGAGGTGTTTTCTCATGACACTGAAGAATGAGCTACATTTAGAATACATGATCACGGGACAACTGGATATTCACATGTGAAAGAATAAAATTGAACCCTTATATCATACCATATATAAAAAATTAACTGCCAATTTAAGCAAAAATGTGGAAAATTTATTACAAGCATATTCAGACTCCCTGCAAGGAGAGGAAGACCCAATAGTGAGCTGCCTGTTAAAGCCTTATAAATATTTGCTACAAGTCTGCTTCTATGTCTATCCATGTCATCACCTGATTAATTTCCTAATTATTTTTGTCCAGCAATAGATCTGAATTTGCCCTGTTTCTATGTGATCTTTCTCTGTTTCTATGCTGAACTTTTTCTGTTTCTATGTGTTCATATATGGTGTTGCTACAGGCTCTCCCTTGTTTTCCCATGCCTCCCGCTTTGAGTCCAGAAACATTTTATTATTTCTTCTTGGTTGGTTCCTGTGGTTAGGCTGGCTCAAGCTGCTGTGTCTACCCCTGCCTGTTTCACCTGCCTTTGTTTTCCACAGGATCCCTGTCCTATCTCCGTGCATTTCAAGTTAACCCTCTCACCTTATTAGATACTTGAATTGCAAATTTTTTTCCCATTCTATGACCCATTGGCAGTTAATTTTTTATATATGGTATGATATAAGGGTTCAATTTTATTCTTTCACATGTGAATATCCAGTTGTCCCGTGATCATGTATTCTAAAGATTATTCTTTCTTCCATTGAATTGTCTTGGAACCCTTGTCAAAAATTAATTTACCATAAATTTGAGGGTTTATTTCTAGACTCAGTTCTAAGCCATTGATTTCTATATTGTCAGTATCACATTTGATTAATGTAGCTTTTATATTAAATTTTGAAATTAGGAATTTGTGGGGGTTTTTTCAAGGCTGTTTTGGATATTCTGGAATTTCCATAGAAATTTTAGAAATTTTAGCTTGTTAATTTCTGCAAAAACAACCATTGGAATTTTGACAGAGATTGTATTGAATCTGTAGGTTAGTTGGGGAGTATTGCCATTTTAACATGGCATAAATTCATAAATATCTTTCTATTATTTCTTACCTGAGAATACTTTTTTTCCCCCTCTTGGTTTTTAGAGAGTAGAAGAGAAATAGGGTGAGAGAGAGAGAGAAACATCAATATGAGAGAAACATCATTTGGTTGTCTCCTGCCTGTGCCCTGCTGGGGGACAGGGATCTATCCTGCAATCAAGGTACCAGGAATTGAATCTGTGACCCTTTGGTGCATTTGTGGAGGCTCTAACCATTGAGCTCACTGACCAGGGCAATATAATATATCTTTCTTTTAAAACAAACATATTTTTATTGGTTTCAAAGAGGAAGAGAGAGGGAAAGAGAGATATACAAATGTCAATGATAAGAGAGAATCACTGATAGGCTGCCTCCTGCACACCCCCTACTGAGAATCGAGCCCACAACCTTAGGCATCAGAATTGAACCTGGGATCCTTCAGCCACAGACCAACACTCTATTCACTGTGCCAAACCAGCTAAGGCAAAGTAGCATAAATTTAAATGGTGTGCCTACACTCTGGTTTTCCCATGAGCCATATTATTTTTAGTGCACAATTTTGCAGGACATGAAGTTTTTCACAAATGTATATATTATGCTACACCTGTGGGGGAGGGCAAATTTTTTTCTACCTTCAAGGTTCTTTTGGCTAATCTAATAATTAAATAAATATAAGTAGATCAGCAAAAGAAAATAATCAGATTTAATACATTCATATATATGGGAAACCCACATATGTGAGAGAGTCAGAGACCCCCCACATGCATGAGAGTTTCTGAGATACCCTGTTTCCCTGAAAAAAAACAGTGTCTTATATTAATTTTTGCTCCCAAAGATGCACTAGGTCTTATTTTCAGGGGATGTCTTATTTTTCCATGAAGAAGAATATGGTACACATTTATTGTTAAATGAAAATAAAGGAAATTTATTACCTGTATATGGTCCGATAGTACGGTAGTTGTCAACACAAACCAGACAAACTGTTAAAAACGTCGATGAGAGAGAAACACCGACCAGTTGCCTCTTGCACACCCCGCACTGGGGATGAGCCCGCAACCAACGTACATGCCCTTGACCGGAATCGAACCCGGGACCCTTCCGTCCGCAGGCCGACGCTCTATCAACTGAGCCAAACCGGTCCCGGCAAGGCTACAAAGTTTTAATTATAGAAGATAAATAAATCCCAGATACCCGGACCTCCACTTGGGTGGATGGCCGGCCTGCAAACCACCACAGGCCCTTCGCCCAGGCTGCCCTACGCCCCAAGGGAACCCCCAACCTGATCCAGAATACCCTTCAGGGCAAACCAACCAATCCCCACCCATACACCAGGCCTCTATCCTATTTAATAAAAAAGTAATATGCAAATTGACTGTCATTCCAACACATAGGATGCTGCTCCCATATGGTCAAAGATCTTGCCCCCATTTGGACACAAGATGGCTGCCAGAAGATGGCCAGCAGGGAAGGGTTGTTGGAAGGGACTAGGCCTGCAAGGGAGGGCAGTTGTGGGCAATCAGGCAAGGAGGGGAGGGCAGTTGAGAGGGACCAGGCCTGCAAGGGAGGGCAGTTGGAGGCAATCAACCCTGCAGGGGAAGGCAGTAAGGGGTGACCAGACCGGCAGAGTAGGGAAGTTGGGGATGACTGGGCCTGCAGGGAAGGGCAGTTGTGGGTGGACCCAGGCCTGCAGGGAAGGGCAGTTAGAGGTGACCAGGTATGCAGGGGAGGGCAGTTAGAGGCAATCAGGCTGGCAGGGTAGCAGTTAGGCATCTATCAGGCTGGCAAAGGAGTGACTAGAGGGTGATCAGGTTGGCAGGCAGAAGCAGTTAGGGGCAATCAGAAAGGCAGGCAAGTGAGCAGTTGGGAGCCAGCAGTCCTGGATCATGAGGGGGATGTCCAACTGCCCATTTAGGCCCGATACTACTGGGATCGAGCTAAAACTGGCAGTCAGACATTTCTCGAAGGGTCCCAGATTGTAGTGGGTGCAGGCTGGGCTGAGGGACACACAACCCCATGCACGAATTTCATGCACTGGGTCCCCAGTGTTTGTATAGACAGGAATTTTTTATGTCATTCAAATTAAATTTTAAACAAATTCTCCTACTTCTCTTTTAGGAAGGGCTAATCAAGTCTGAGCCTCAGAGAATTTTCTTTATTAATAATAATAAGTTAATATGGCTATTAATATCATTACCTTTTACCTAATGATGCTCAGTCCTCTAGGTATCCCATCCTTTGATTCTATTGCTGCTGCCTATTCCTCTAGTATGTGCTCATCTTGTTCATTTCAAACTCATGAGGCCACTTAGCTTTGATTTAGCTAGCCCCAGACTGCACCTTTCGTCACAATCCTGCAGCTTCACAACCTTCTTGGTAAATGTGTCCTCATCGCCCAAACTTAACATTTATAGGAATCCCATGGAGCCGAAACCGGTTTGGCTGAGTGGATAGTCGGCCTGTGGACTGAAGGGTCCCGGGTTCGATTCCTATCAAGGGCTTGTACCTTGGCTGCGGGCATATCCCCAGTAGGGGGTGTGCAAGAGGCAGCTGATCGATGACTCTCTCTCATTGATGTTTCTAACTCTCTATGTCTTTCCCTTCCTCTCTGTAAAAAATCAATAAAATATATTTAAAAAAGAAAAAAGAAAAGAAAAAAGAATCACATGGAGGACTTGTTCAATCACAAGTTCCTGGATGCCATCTCTGGAGCTTCTGATACAATATAATATGTTAGGGTTAAGTGAGAATGCATTTGTAACAAGCTCCGAGGTGATGTTGATACTGCTGGTCCAGTGGTCACATTTTGAGTGGCACTACTCTAATACCCTGCTGTTACCCTGTTTCCCCCAAAATAAGACAGTGTCTTATATTAATTTTTTTCTCCCAAAGTTGCGCTAGGTCTTATTTTCAGGGAATGTCTTATCTTTCCATGTGCTAGGTCTTATTTTCGGAGGATGTCTTATTTTCGGGGAAACATGGTAGCAGTATCACTCACTCTGAGGCACCAGTTTCTTCCCTATCAAACCTTTTTTTTTGGGGGGGTGGGGGGGGCGGGGAAGGGTGTCGTAGTATTGCATCAGCACAGTCATTCTCAACCGGGGGAAAATTTTATCCCCAGGAGACATTTGGCAATGTCTGGAGACACTTTTTTGTTGTCCTAACTGGGTAAGAAGGCATGCTACTGACATCTGGTAGGTAGAGGCCAGAGGTGATGCTAAACATCCTACAATTCACAAGGCAGTTCCTTACCACAAAGAATTATCTGGCCCAAATGTCAATAGTGCCAAGGTTGAGAAATTTGACATCAACATGATATTGCTTTGTTTGCCATTAGCATAAAATCCTTCTGATTGTGCCTATGTCAAATAGATAGCCTATGAAGTGAAGATAGAGGTAAAGGAATGGTTGTGTCCTATCCCCAACCCCTGCTTTGTACAGTTCATTGAATATAAAAATCTTAACTTTAAAACTAAGTGTTTTACTTCTAGACATGATAACTTGTCTTCAGATTCTTAACTTCTTCTTCTTAGGTCTCATGACAGAATGGAAGACTTTACTGAAACTAAACCTTTGGACATCGGACCTATTTATTTCTTTGATCAGGTAATAATATAGGTCAGTCTCATAAATTATAATTTACTTTTTAAAATATATTTCACTTTGACCAGTATTTTTCTCTACCTTTTAAATAGATTTATTTTATTTTAGATGAAACCAAAAAGGAGAAAATGGGAAAAGAAAGACTGTCTCCCCCATTTGAAACACACGTCAGAAGATAAGCTTAGGTAAAACATTTGGAATTACTCTGCATTGCTGGCATCACTGTATATTTTCAAAGACTTATAAGATGCTCAAGATCAATCCTTTCTTATTTTCTACCCTCTAAGAAACTATATCAAGAAAGTACCATGTCAAAGATGACCATGAATTTAGTCAAAGAGCTTTATTTTAGCCAGATCAGGATTAATTTAAGCATAATTGGTCAAGTGGACCAGTCATCTGGTTTCTTTGCTATTCCACAACAAACCTAGCTTGTTCTCTCTCCCTCTCCCTCTTTCTTCTCCCTCTCCCTCTCCCTCTCCCTCTCTCTCTCCCTTTCCTTCTCCTTTAGGGAGTTTTCACTAGCTGTTCCTTCTGTTTTCAGCATTGCTTACTCCCCTTTCCTTGTCTTTAAGTTTCACCTTTGTAGTGAGACTTTTCTTTATTATCCTATTTTAAATTTCTACACCATCACCACCTTAGGAACTTCTATCCCTTTTCTAACTTTTCTGTTGCACTAAATCACTTTCTAAGATTGTAAATGATATCCCTTTTTAAAAATACATATTATTGATTTTTTACAGAAAGAAAGAGAGAGGGAGAGTTAGAAACATCGATGAGAGAGAAACATCAATCAGCTGCCTCCTGCACACCCTCTACTAGGGATATGCCCGCAACCAAGGTACATGCCCTTGACTGGAATTGAACCCAGGACCTCTGAATCCGCAGGCCAATGCTCTATCCACTGAGCCAAACCGGTTAGGGCAATGATACCCCTAATTATTTGTTTGCTCTCTCTCTCCACGTGAGAATATCAGGTCTACAAGGATTTTTTATCTACTTGATCACTTCTCTATCCCCAATACCAAGAACAGTGCTTGGCACATAGGATGTGCTTAATACAGATTTGTGATTAATATCCACAGAATTGTGTCAAGACCACAAAAATGAATGAAATAATGGAACTAGTCATTTCACAATATTTTTACCCTCTAGTTACCACAATTTAACTTGTAAAGTGGAAATTAAATTATCCCAATCTATCTTAGAACATATATCACAAGGCTGAATAAAATTAAAAGTTGTTAATTTTACCAGTGAGTTCTCAAGCAGGGGTGTTTTGTCCTGCAAGGGACATGTAGCAATTTCTGGAAGCGTTTTTGTTTGTCACAACTAGGGGGATATGACATTATCGTCATCTGGTATATAGAGACCAAGGTTGCTGCTAAACATCCTACAATACATGGGACAGCACCTTCAACAGAGAATTATCTGATCTGAAATGTCAGCAGTATTAGGATGAAAAGCTGGGATATGTATTAATTAAATTGTGAGGGTGTTTTTTGAGCCTGTTATAATTTTTCTCAAGACCATTACAAGTTGCTGTTATTTTCAGAAGTCTATTGTCTCTTCATTTCCAGCTCTTTCTGTTTTTGAAAAGCAATATTACCTAATAATAGACAAACATATAAATTGAACATACCTCCGATATTCCCACAGCCAATCAGGAGTGAGTATGCAAATTAGCCCAACAAATATGGAAGATTAATTTGCATATGCAGGTGCAGTGCAGCTGGGAGGGATGGGACACTTGTTATGAGCAGGAGGGGGATGGCAGAGGGAGCTATAGGAGTGGTGCTCTAGCTGGGAGTGCGGACTTGCAAGCTCCTAGGTGGCCAAGAGCAAAGCCAGGAGAAGGAAGGCCTATTCTTGCACGAATAACATGCAATGGGCCTCTAGTTCAATATAAAGTGATCATTTTATATTCACAATGCTTGGCTTAAAATTGGCAATCAGTGAGTCAGGTTGTCTTATGAGCAATCAATAGGTTTGTTTAGCATAGAGCTTGAGGGGTTTATTGGTTTCCAAGCTTTCTCATTTAATACATTCCTGAAGGTATGTGCTAAGCATTGCTTTTGTCCACTCTGCTTGGAAACATCCCATTTCTCCCACCAGATATCCTGCTGCTATTGCACCAAGAATAAACTCCATACTTGTTACCATGAACTGCAAGCCTTTCTATGATTTTTTCTTATGTCTATCCTCTGACCATCCATACCACTCCATGTCACTCACTGCTCCCCAGCCATTATGGCCTATCTGTTGCTTTCACAACCAAGCCCATTCCTGCATTAGGTTGTTTGCATTTGTTGGGCACTCTCTACTGAATGTTTTTCTGCCATATTATTTTATGGTTGGCTCTTCGTTGTTATCATTCAAGTCTCATCCCCAATGTCTCCTCTTCAGAAAGGCCATCTCTGATCTCCCAATCCAAAGAAGCTAAGCCTCTCCTACCCTCACCCCTACCCCCACCCCTACCCCCATCCATTACTGTATTAAAGTGCCCTGTTTTATTTTCATCAATGCAATTATTGCTATCTGTACATTTCTTTGTCTATGCTCTCTCCTTTTTTTTTTTTTTTTTTTTTTTCCCTCCTGTCATTCTTTCTCCAGCAAGAATGTAAGGTCCATGAGGGCAGAGGTTTGTCCTCTTCACCATGTTTCCTCAGCACCTACAACTATGCCTGATGGATATTTATTAAATGAAAGAATCATTTCTTCTCATGTGCTGTATGCCTAGAGAAGTGGAGCTACTTTAAGACTGGGCCAGGTGCCAAGACCTTCATTGTTGATTATCTCTCGTTAATATTGTTAAGTCTGTCCTTAGCTGGTTTTGCTCAGTGGATAGAGCGTCAGTCTGCAGACCAGAGTGTCCCGGGTTTGATTCTCCTCAAGGTCCTGTACCTTGGTTTCAGGCTCCTTCCCAGCCTGGGCCCTGGTCAGGGCACGTGCAGGAGGCAACCAATCAATGTGTTTCTCTCATATCCATATTTCTATCTTTTCCTTTCCCACTCTCCCTAAGAATCAATAAAAAATATTCTTGTTTGAAGATTAAAAATAAAAAGATTGTTAAGTCTAGTTTTGAACTGGACAGACCATTATTTGAGCTTCTGCCTGAAAAATAACCAGATATATAAATATTATATTTAAATATGTATTAAGCCGAAACCGGTTTGGCTCAGTGGATAGAGTGTCGGTCTGTGGACTGAAAGGTCCCAGGTTCGATTCCGGTCAAGGGCATGTACATTGGTTGTGGACACATCCCCAGTAGGGGGTGTGCAGGAGGCAGCTGGTTGATATTTCTCTCTCATTGATGTTTCTAGCTGTCTATCCTTCTACTTTCCTCTCTGTAAAAAATCAATAAAATATATTTTTAAAAATGTATTACATTTCTTAACCTTCTTAATATCCTTCTGAAAGAGATATAATTATTGACTGTACTTACATATTGAGGCAATTAATAAGTGGAAGGTGTTACAGTTATTGTTACTTTAAGTAGTCTTATTCTTTTATTTGAGCAATAGATAAATCTGAGAGTTGTAAATGCATATTTACAGGATGTTACAAAGAAAATATCATAAAATTGAGATAACACAGTAGCTTCCTCATAGGGTTAGTATTAGAGTTTAGAGAAATGATGTTTATGAGAGCAACTTTGAAAGCTTATTATAAAGGGATATAGAAATGTATGAGTTATAATAATAATATATTTAAAGTTTTCAAAAATAGGTCTTCCATTTAAAAAATATTAATGTGAAAATATATCCAATACCTAAAGATCTACATTTAAATTCTTATTCCAACTCAAATACCTTTTGGTCTAAAAAAGTTGCCTTTTTACACTAAACTCTCCATTGGGAAACCAATGTTATTTTTCGAACTATGCTAATGGAACCACCATTTAGTAGAAAGATGGAAGTGATTCTTTAGTGCTCGGCACCATTTTATAAAGTCCATCGGGAGGTGTTGACATGTTTCACCACATTGACAAGATGAAAGAAAACATTTTGAAATTGTAATGACAAGTGAGCAGAGAGAGGTAGGAGATTTTATAGGGGTGATAAATGGTGATGGAAAGAAGCATAATATACATGTGAGGTATTATAGAATTATACACCTTAAACCTATATAATTTTACTAATCAATGTAACCCCAATACATTCAATAGTAAAGAAATTGTGATGACTAGGGCAGCTGTCTTATAAATATTTGAACAACTGGTTTACAGGAGAATATTCCAAATTTAAAAACCATAGCGCTCCCCCTTCCATCCCTTTCCCTCAGTTATCAAAAGCCCTCATCAGTCTCTAAGCTTTTCAGGTGCCTCTTCTAGATTTGGTAAATTCCCTCTCCCTGCACCTAACCTCCTACAAAGGTGGTAATGGGGAATATGAAGGTTACCTGTTTGGATTTCTGTCTTCTCTAAAATACAGTAATATCTGATAGGGCTGTGTTGGATGGGTTGAGGGAACACAGTATGTTTGTGGACTTAGAACCTAAGAAATTCAGGGAAGCCTTTCTGGAAGAAATGATCTATGTCTTGTCTTATAATTAGACAAATGAATAAATGATACACATATATTGGTTTTTGTCTTCTGTGTATAAACATAAATGTTTATTGTGGAAAAATTAGAAGAGCATGAAGTATAAAAGGAGAAAATAAAAATGACTTCTATAATCCCACAATTAATTTCCTTTTTGGTGGACATTTGCTTAGGCTCTTTACTACCAGATAAATGATATATACATTATACAATTCAGATCATTCCACATATGTAATTGTATATCTTTTTTATATAACATAATCATTTCCCCAAATTAAGAGAAATTTTACAATTTTTATTGCTATACATTTATGGGTATGGCATTATTTACATACTTGGCAATATTGTTATGAGCTATTAGGTTCTTTTCAATTTTTACTAATATCAAAAACTAATATTAAAGCTAGAAATTTTATACACAGATGCTACATATCTTTTAAATTATATTTAGAAGTCAAATTACTATGTTAAAAAGTATTCAATATCTTTAAGTCTCACATGTTTTTTACAGTCTTCCAGAGAGTATTCACCGTAAAGAACTAGACAAGGAAGCAAGGCAACCTATAGAAGCTGCACCAAAGAAGAAATATGCATTTCAATCATTTGCCATCTCACCAACTCCTGTTGTTTCCAAGATTCCTATTGACATTAAATTCTCCAAAATACACAGGCAAAAGAGTCCACTTGAAGAATTCAAACAAACTGCTGCTGAATTACTGTGTGAACTTGGGGAGACATTGCAGACATATGCTGAGAATAATATTGCTTTCCCTGTAGGAATTGTAAATCTTGTGAATTACAGTTGGCTTGATCTCATTGAAGGAACTTATAAATATGCAATCAAAAAGTCACTGTCAAAGAAACAAATTGTCTTGCAAAGCAATTCCAGTTCCATGATGGTTGACAAAATCAACTATCCAAGAATAGAATATCATAAGGAAAATTATCTGATGAAAGCAAAAAAAGACCACCACCATTTTGTACCAATTGAAAAAACATGTAAGTAGAAATTACTAGTTAGATTTATAAATAAGAATAAAAGTAGCAAGTGAGATAGTGACAGAACATTATATTTGGTTATATTAAAGTGGTAATTTGGTTTGTGTTAATCATTTTAATAATTCATGAATGTCAGCAGAAAGACACAAATTTTCTCTTAAATATTTTTTATTGATTTCAGAGAAGAAGAGAGAGAAAGAGGGTGACAGAAACAATGATGAGAGAGAATCAATGATCACCTGCCTCCTGCACACTCCACTCTGGGGATCAAGCCCTCAACCCAGGCATGTGCCCTGACTGGAAATCAAACCGTGACCTTCTGATTCATAGGTCAATACTCAACCACAGCCACACTGGCTGGGCAGACAGAAAAATTTATGGTGCTTTCAGTTCAATATAGCATCCATTATGCTTCCTATCCAAGTGATATGAAGCCTTTGCCACAAGAGATCTTACAAATTCTCTAAAAGTAGCACGGTCCAACAGAAAAATGATGCTAGCCACATAGGTAATTTTTTAAAATTAAACTTTATTTCTAAGATAATTGTAGGCATACATGCAGTTATAATAAACAATATAGAGAGGTCACATATACCCTTTATCCAAATTTTTTCCATATGGCAACATCTTGCAAAATTATAGTACAGTATCGCAAACAGGCTATGGAAGCAGTCAAGATTCAAAATACTTGCATTACCACAAGGATCTCTCATGTCCTTTTACTGCCAAGACTGTGTTCCTCCTGCCCCACCCCCTCTTTTAACCTGACAACCACTAATGTGTATCCATTTTAATATGATTGTCACTTCAAGATTATATGGAATGGAATCATACAATGTGTAACTTTTGGTGATAGCCTTTTTGTCCAACTAGCTTAATTCTCTAGATATTCATCCAGGTTGTGTAATGTTTCCTTCTTATTGCTCAGCTATTTTCTGCGATATAGATAGTATCACAATTTGTTTAACCATCCACTCCTTGAAGGACATCTGGATTTTCCCCTCCGTCCTCCCTCCCTTCCACCTTTTGGCTATTAGGAAAGGTACTAAAACATTTATATACATGTTTTTGTGTAAATATAAGTTTTGATTTCTCTTTGATAAATGCCCAGAAGAACAGGTGCTGGGCTATGTTTATTTTATGTTTACTTTTATATATTAAGTGCCAAACTGTTAAATGCCAAACTGTTTTTTTCAAGAAGCTGTTTTTTGCCGAAACTGGTTTGGCTCAATGGATAGAGCGTCGGCTTGGGGACTGAAAGGTCCCTGGTTTGATTCCGGTCAAGGGCATGTACCTTGGTTGCAGGCATATCCCCAGTAGGGAGTGTGCAATAGGCAGCTGATCGATGACTCGCTCTCATCGATGTTCCTAACCTCTCTATCTCTCTCCCTTCCTCTCTGTACAAAATCAATAAAATATATTTTTAAAAAATGTTAAAAAACAAAAAAGAAGCTGTACTGTTTACATTTCTATCAGCAATGTATGAGTGACAACCTTGCCCATATGTGGATATCATCACCTTTTTTTGTTTTAGACATTCTTATAGACATGTAATGATATTTCAGTGTGATTTTATTTATGCTTATTTTATTTATTTATTTATTTATTTATTGGTTTTGGAGAGGGGAAGGTAGACAGAGAGAGAGAGAGAGAGAGAGAGAGAGAGAGAGAGAAATATTACATTAAGTTACACTATGTATGATTTCATTTCATATAATCTTGAAATGACAAACATATTGAAATGGGATACACATTGGTGGTTGCCAGGGTTAAAGAGAGGGTGGGGCAGGAGGAACATAGTCTTGGCTGTAAAAGAACATGAGAGATCCTTGTGGTAATGCAAGTATTTTGAATATATTTTATTGATTATTTTACAGAGAGAAAGGGAGAGAGATAGAGAGCTAGAAACGACGATGAGAGAGAAACATCGACCAGCTGCCTCTTGCACACCCCCTACCGGGGATGTGCCCGCAACCAATGTACATGCCCCTGACCGGAATTGAATCTGGGACCTTTCAGTCCGCAGACCGATGCTCTACCACTGAGCCAAACCGGCTTCGGCGGGGTAATGCAAGTATTTTGAATCATGACTGCATCAATAGCCTTGTTCCACCTATTTGTGCAATCATTGGTTTATTCTTGTATGTGCCCTGATGGGATCAAACCTGCAATATTGGTGTATTGGGACGGCACTCTAACCAACTGCATTACCCAGCTAGATCCTTCACTGTGGTTTTAATTTGCATTTCTCTAATGGTTAATGATGTGAAATATGTGTCTTCTATATATCCTCTTCAGTAAAATGTCTTTTATGTCTTTGCTCATTTTCTAACTGGATTGTTTGCTTTCTTTTTATTTTGATTATTTTTTTAGAGAGAGTGGAAGAGAGAGGGAAAGACAGAGGGAATATCGATGTGAGATAAACACATCGATTGGTTGCCTCTTGCATGTGTCCTGACCAGCTCCCTGGTTGGGGAGGAGCCTGCAACTCAACAGAGGTACATGCCCTTGACCAGAATCAAACCTGGAACCCTTTAGTCTGTGGGCCAATGCTCTATCCACTGAGCCAAACTGGATAGGGGGTTTACTTTCTTATTGTTGAATTTTGAGAGTTTGTTATATATTCTAGATATTAGTCCTTTGTTGTAAATGTGCTTTGCAAATATTTTCTTCCAGCGTATTTTAATGTTTTTCTTTTTTTTAAATTAAAGAAAAGCATTAAAATACACTGCCCATCTCCACCCACCCCTGCCTCTCCCTCCCTTGGCCTTCACCAAACTAATACCCTCATAAAAATATTAAAACATTGACAATTGGGCTTTTTGTTGATAATCTAGCAAAATGCTCTTTTTCTTCTTCCCCTTTCTTCATCTTCTTCCCACCCCTGCCTCTCCATCCCTTGGCCTTCACCAAAATAATACCCTCATAAAAATATTAAAACATTGACAATTGGGCTTTTTGTTGATAATCTAGCAAAATGCTCTTTTTCTTCTTCCCCTTTCTTCATCTTCTTCTTTATTCTCTCTAGTTTTTACCAGCCAAAAGCAGTATTACCAGATGCTCCGTGAAACCGATTTACCTTTTGTCATTCACTTCTCATTGTCATCCAAGTTCTGTTTAGAAAATGGTAAGATCCCTTTACCCACCCAAATCAGGGTCAATTTTGATGAGCAGCCCGAGTGAGAATCACTTCCATTCACTGAATTTGAAACCTTTCTCCCAGACATCCTCTTAGTACCACAATCATAGATTCGAAGTCAAACTTTTCAAAGATATCCTCATCTAACCCAGCTCTCCTGGTTTCTCTACTTTTATACCTTGTGAGTTTTTCCTTCATGATTTTGAGGAACCAGTTTAGGTAACAATGACATTTATGTCCTAGAAGAACAATCCAGGGCCCTTCCAGTGCAAAAACCTACCATTCTGGATTGGGAACCAAGGCTTCCATGTTATAGGCAAAAATAAATTCTTAAATTGTTACAAAAGAGACCGCCCAAGAAAGTTTATGGTTGCCCAAATCTAGAAAGAATACTCTCTATACCTGAATTAAGTTATAAAATGGGTAAGACATTGGTTGTTAGGAAAAGGGAAACTTACTATTCCTTGGGACGCAAACATAACATAGCGGTTGTGGCTCAGAGAATCAGTAGGAGTTGGGGCTGACTGCCATACATCTTACAGATTTGCTTTTTGTGGTCTTTTTATCATAGCTAACAACCTTTAAAACAGTTGAAAGGATCTGGTTTTAGATAATGTGCCTAGGGATAAGTGTTCTTTTCACAACTCCCCATTCTCTTATTTATACTTTTTTTTTTTTTTAATATATTTGAATTTTTACAGAGAAGAAGAAGAGAGGGATAGAGAGTTAGAAACTTTGATGACAGAGAATCATCCATCAGCTGCCTCTTGCACATCCCCCACTGGGGATGTGTCCGCAACCAAGGTACACGTCCTTGACCGAAATCGAACCTGGGACCCTTCAGTCCTCAAGCTGACATTCTATCCACTGAGCCAAACCAGTTTCGGCTTATTTATACTTCTGAATTTAATGTGTTGAGGGATCAAAATTTAAAACTAGAACTGTCTCTCTGGGGTGGGACAGATATTGAGGAACCAGACCCAAATGCATATGCTAAGAAGCCAGTAGGTATGGCAAAACAGCAAATAGGAATGAAGTAAATCTTAAGGTAACGAGAGAATTCTACATGAAAATGTCAAAGAATCCAAGTACATGGGTAAAATCCAATGACTGGAAATCCCCTAGCAAGCAATTAGATTGCAAGTGGTGACCAGCCCACTAGTTAATCTGTGAACAAGGAGCAAGGCCTTAGGGCAGAGGTTGAAATCTCAAAGTGGGAGGCTAGAAAAACCTACATTATCTAATCCTAAGGAATCCGGTGGTGAAGCTTGTTCAGTCCTCCCAGCCTAAAGTTAGGATGATTCTCATGGTCCTGTGGGGATGAACCTGGAATCTTTAGGCAGTAAGCCACAAGAACCCAACTCACATGAGCTTAAGCAACATGAGAATTATTTGCTCATGTTGTAGAGGCTAGCTCAGAAGATTAAAGGAAAAATTGCAAGAACAGTGTTCAAGGAAGGATGTGGGACTCATACTGGCAAATACTTTGTTCTTTTCCACTTCTGCTTCATTGAATTCTATAGTTAGGCCCATGCCTAATAGTAAATAGTAAATAGGGTTTAATAGTAAAGATGGTCACTGCCAGCCATGGGTTCATGTGCTTCCAGCTGAGGAAGAAAGTGCTCTCCTTCCCATCACCACCCAAGATCCATATTTCAGTTTTGAATAATGACTCAGATTAACTCTGAGTCAAGTGCCCACCCTACGGGCAATCATGGTGGCCTGGGCTGGTCAAACCCGGGTCATTGGTTCACGGGTTGCTAGAACGTATTATTGTCACCCCAACTTGAATCCCATGGGATGTGTTTGGGATGATACTTCAAAATAAGAAAAGTCAAGTAAATCCATTGTTTTGAAATAG